ACCACCACTGGGACCACTTTGGCCTTTACTTTCCACATCCTCTCTAGTTCCTCCTTCAGGCGGAGGAAATATTTTATATATTTTATATATATAAAATAAAAATAATCTGATGTCCACTAATGGAAGACAGGTTGAAAAGGAGTTTGCTAATGGCACAAAATCCCAAACAGTGGCCAAGAAATAGAGCTATATATCACATGACAGTATATACAAGTACAAAGGCGAATTTCCATCCAAATTACAAATAGGACTCCTAATTTAGAGACAGAAGGATGAAGCTTTTTATTGGTGCTATCATTAAACAACTGGAATGATAATCCTTGGCATATCATTCAGCAATTTACTCGTATCTTCTGGCTTCCCATTGCTGCTTTAAAGCCATTGAAAGCAGTGACCATAATGCTGTTACATTCAGCAGGCATGTCAATAGGATTCTGTCAGCAGCTGTAAAAATTAAATGGCTTCCTCTAGGAAATGCAAAGCCTCCTTTATGGAGGAGAACAAAATGAACAAGAAAACTTGTTCAGGCCTGCTGCTTTACCTTCCCCAAGAGATATGATTGGTTTAATAGAATATACCTCTGATCATTTTCTGATTCAGTTCTTCATTAATCCACAGAATCTGTGCCAAAGTAAGGCCACCTATTTCTTTCTTATTTTTGGTGCTTTCTGTACTCATGTCTGTATTACTGAGTCACAATGAAATGTCTTCGTTGAAAAATTTAAAGGGTATACATAAATAAGGTAATGTGATTTGTCTGTTCAGCAAACCGGGGGGGGGGGGACCCTCTTCCTGCCAGTTTGTTCCATTCTTCTTCCTCCAAGCCCCACCCACATTCCAAAGGAAGCCACATAACTGTTGCTATATACAGAATTCTCCTTTTCATCATCTTATTTACATCTGGGATTCTTTCCAGTTTGTTTCTACCCTGTCATCTACTTTAAGAGAGCTTCCTTTGGAAATGAAATGTGAGAAAGTGTACTTTAAAGGATTCCTTCTGCTATGGAAAATGATTATCCATCTTCTATGGCTCTTGATGTTGCTCAGGAATGTCCTAACTGTGACTGCCAGTCAGATACTTCCTCAGGGCTTTATTTATGCTTCTTATGAGGTGACCATCCCATGGTTATTAAGTCCAAAACCTGGACAACAGGAACCACAGAATGTCACTTATCTCCTTCAGTGTGAGGGAAAGAATATCATTATGCACCTCACACAAAAGAGGGACTTGGTTCCTAAACATTTGCCCATCTTTACCTACAGTGAGGATGGGGATCTGCAGCTGGACTATCCATTCTTCAGGGATGACTGCTACTACCATGGTTTTGTGCAGGACAAACTCTTCTCTTTGGTCACCCTTAGTATTTGCTCAGGAGGACTCAAAGGCATATTGCAATTAGAAAATAAGACATATGAAATTGAACCAATACAGGGATCTACTACCTTTCAACATGTGATATATCGTTTAGAAGAAAAAGAGAGTGCTATCCAAATGAGGTGTGGCCTAACACAGGAAGAGCAAAAACATCAAGAGGCCATGTTCCAAAACATAGAGAATGTAGTTTCCAATACTGCATCCAAAGGAGACTGGTGGCTACGCACTCGATATGTAGAGATTGCTGTTGTGATTGAACATGAACGTTATTTAAAGTTTGCCAAAAATGAAACTCTTACTGCTCTGCAAGTTCTTGACATTATCCATATTGCCAATTCTTTTTATGAACCTCTTTCTGTTCAATTGTGTGTAGTTGGATTGGAAATCTGGTCACAAAAGAACTTCATAATGATTTCTCCTGTCATAGATAGAACTCTTCAGGATTTCAGTGACTGGAGGAGAGACTCCTTGGTTAATCGTCTAAAAAGTGATGTTGGTCATTTATTTGCATGTAAGACTTTTGAACTTTCACTTGGGTCAGCTTATGTAGGAACAGTTTGTGATGAAAGGATGGGATCTGCTGTTATCTCATATATGACTAGCAGTTTGTCCATTATCAGTAGCATATTTGCCCATGAATTAGGACATAATCTTGGCATGCTACATGATGAACAGTACTGTAGTTGTGGTAGAGTTAACTGCATTATGGCTCCAGTTCATGAAGTGACTGATAAATTTAGCAATTGTAGTTACAATGACTATTTCCTCACAATGAATGCTCCATGCTTATTAAGTCCTCCAGACCCTGATAGAATCTTTAAAATCAAATTATGTGGCAACAGAGTGGTAGATAAGGAAGAGCAATGTGACTGTGGTTCAGAAGCTCAATGCAAGTTGGATCCATGTTGTCAGTCTAACTGTACATTCCGTTCTGGTGTCAGTTGTGCTTTTGGTCAATGTTGTGCTAAGTGTCAATATCTTAAGTCTGGAACTGTTTGCAGAGAGAAGACTAGCTATTGTGATCTTCCTGAATACTGCAATGGGACTTCTGAGTGGTGTCCAGAAGATGTTTATGTGCAGAATGGTGCCCCATGCAGTGATGATGCATACTGTTATCGTGGAAACTGCATGTCTGAACATACACAATGCAAAATGATTTTTGGCTTCAGTGCAAAAACTGCTACAGATATTTGCTTCAGAGAAATGAATGCTAAAGGTGATCGCTTTGGCAATTGTGGCCTTAAACATGGAATTTATCACAAATGTCAAACTAAGAATATCCTGTGTGGTCGTATCCAGTGTGAAAATGTGCAAGTCTTACCTTCTTTGGAGGAACACAACACCATAATTCAAATCCCCCTTGGTAATAAGCAGTGCTGGAGTATAGACTACCACAGTGGAATGAAGATAGCTGATATTGGAGCAGTGACAGATGGCAGTCCTTGTGGCAAAGATAGGATGTGCATTGACAGAAAATGCGTGAGCGTGTCTCTCTTGAAGTATGACTGTAACATCACCAAGTGCCATAATCGGGGAGTGTGCAACAATTACAAACATTGTCACTGTGATTATGGCTGGGCTCCTCCAGACTGCCTGAAGAAAGGCCACGGTGGTAGCATTGATAGTGGACCTCCTCGACCACACAAACATTTAAGCACTATGGCAAAAGCTGGAATTATTGGAGGGATTATATATATCTTTTCTTCTGCTTTTGTTTTGGTTAGCCTAGCAATATATTTCAGATATGGGTTTATACGCTTATTTAGAAGATTTAGGGGAAGACCTATGCCAACAACCACAGAATTAAACATCCAGTAAATCACAGAGATGAAGTATGTCAAATGTGTGCAGAAGAGGTAATGGATATTATTATATAAAAATGCATTTGAGCCTCCGAATTTGAGTATTAATTTATAATGCTGATTCTCTAAATTGAATTTAACTCTCAGGCACTGTCATTGTGAAAGTTTTGTTTTATTGACTGGGAACGCACTCTCCGATAAATACTGAAAACATTTCACTGGGAATTGGTTTTTACTACATTAGTTAGTTACAAAAGAAGAAGAAAATAATTTACAATTGCCTTTTAAAAATTCTAAATGAAACATAGTATATGTGTATAGGAGAAGATTATCCTCCTGAAGCAGGTTTTTCCAGTCTGGCAGTCAACTTCATAGCAGTTACTGCTCAAAGAGGAGGAAGATGTTGCCACAAAAAAATTACTCATGGTCTTTCATAGCACAGGTATAAATTTATATCTCATTTACGACTAGCAGTACTCTTCTCATCATTTTCCTCATTTGGTAGAATCATCTTCTTCACACCAAGGACCACCTGTACAAACAACACGCTGCCTGCAGTAGGAAAAGCCCAAGCATGCACAGAGCAGACTGCTATGAGTTCAGGACTGGAATCTGCCCCCTGTGCTGGGAGACTCCATAGAAGAATCAGATTTGAGGAGAGAATTTGCCCTGGTGGTTGTCTTCTTTATATAAGAAACCCCTCTGCTGCAGAACTGTTCAAGTCAATCTATCCTCCATGGCATGAGGGACATTGATGCCCTCCTTT